TGGCGTTGTGCGGGTAGTGCCTTTCTGTTGAGCTGAACGTGGCCGGTCCGCTCACGCTCCCCTTGGGGGAACGGGCTTCACTGCCGGTAGGCGGCTTGTCCGTACCGCGGTCAGCGTGGGGCGGAGCCGGCCCGGCTTGCCTTCGCTGAGCTGACTTCGGTGTTATTAGCAAACGGCACAACAGCCAGGGCTGCAAAACCCATCTCTGAAACCGAGTAACTCCTCCCTGTGCCGACCCCCGAGTTGCTGCTGGTACAAAGCTGTCTAATTCAAAACGGCTTCAGTATTCCTGTCTTGGGGGCAGCTGCGGTTTTGAGTGCAGTGCAGTTGCCACAGTAGTAATTGCCATTGTTCTTGCTAAAATAATAGTGGAAATGTTTTTGCCCTGTGAAAAATGCAGTTTGTTTATCTGGTACGTTTAAGGAATCCTGTTGGTGAAAGCTGTGTTAAGGCTTTTTCTGATACAGGGCAATTTAATATCTGTTAAACACAGGCTTTGTCTGTGCTGCAGGCTAAAGTGCTGCTGTAGCCATATCTCTCCTAGCTTTATTATTGTAACTAACTTCATCATTGAGAGGTTAGAGATAAAGGCGAGCTTCTTCCATTTTCACCCTTATCAGTACTTGAGCAAAGCAGATTGATGTTAGCTCAGGTGCGACAATGTTGTCCTACAGTCACGCATGCTGAGCATCTTAAAAGCATAGCTGAGTAACTGCACCTGAAAATGGCAGTACTAGATGTACAGAGGTTAATAACAGATGCAGAGACATATAGAGGAGCATTACCAAAAGAGAGACTTGCCCTCTTCCTGAAGAAGGATTCCACGTACCTGAATAGGCACCAGGCCTGCACTTTGCTGCCTTCCAGAAGAGCATGTTAGCACTTGATCATTTTTTCTCAAGCAAAACAGTAGCTCTTCGCTCCTGTAGCTGCTTAGTGTCTTTGCTGTTGTCTTGCCAGCTGTGAAGAGCATTTTGCCTGTTTTGGACAACAGGATTAATTCAGCTGACAGTCATGGTGTGTCTTGAGGCAGGACAGCAACAAGCAGAGGGTCTGCAGTTACTGAAGCTGGTAGAGTAATTCCTCAGGCTGGCAGGTGAGCAGTAACAAGGCTCTTGTGAGAACCTGGTGGAGCCCCAGTTACTGCCTGTATTCCACTCTAAGCTTCTGCAGATGTAGCTGCCTCGAAGTCATTAAGGCTCCCAGGCAAGCCACCAGTGAAAGCAGAGTGCGGAACAGAGTGCTGAGACAGAGTGTAACCTGCTGGACATCTTGTGGAGTCCTGTTGCTAATTCTTCTTTCTTTTTTCCCTGTCCTGGTTTTGGCTGGAATAGAGGTAATTTTCTTCCTAGTAGCAGGCATAGTGCTGTGTTTTGGATTTAGTAGGAGAAGAATGTTGATAACACACTGATGGTTTAGTTGTTGCTAAGTACTGCTTACACTAGTCCAGGACTTTTCAGCTTCCCATGCTCTGCCAGGTGCACAAGAAACTGGGAGGGGGCACAGCCAGAATAGCTGATCTGAACTGGCCAAAGGGTTATTCCATACCATATGACATCATGCTCAGTATATAAACTGGGGGGGGGCTGGCCGGGGAGCAGTGATTGCTGCTCGGGAACTGAATGGGTATCAGTCGGCGGGTGGTGAGCAATTGCATTGTGCATCACTTGCTTTGTGTATTATTATTATTATTATCGTTATTATTATCATTACTGGTTTACTTTATTTCAATTATTAAACTGTTCTTATCTCAACCCAGGAGTGTTTCTCGCTCTTACTCCTCCAATTCTCTCCCCCATCCCATCGGGGTAGGGGGAGTGAGTGAGCGGCTGCGTGGAGCTTAGTTGCTGGCTGGGGCTAAACCACGACATTCTCCTTTCTCTGTTCTGGGAGGAGCAGGGAGTTAAACCAGTGCTTGTTAAAATGACAGGGGAGGTGCAAAATATATGTTGGAAAAAGGAGGAGGATAAGAAAATAGTTTGAGAGCTGCTAATATGGAGCATTAGACAGCTAATGTAGCAAATTATTCCTATAAACTTGATATTGAGATATATCTATTTGGGTGACAGAAAGAATCTGGTTCTTTTGGTTGATGCTTAAAAAGATACTTGGAGTTATTTGCATGGTCGTATGCGAAAGAGCTTAGACCAACACCTTTTCTTTCTGTTCATCCCTTTTGTTTTGCCAAAGCAGACTATGCATCTAGTGTCACTTGATTCTTAGTCTTCTGATTTATTGCCCATGTCCTTCTGGCAGCTTCGCTTCTTAGAGAATTGGATATATTTTTTATTTTAAAACAAGGTGACTGGCTCCAAACTACCTAATACCTACCTTTTCTGTGTTCTGGCAAACAATAATTTTTTGTAGACGGTGTAATTTAAGCTCCTGGCTGTTCACCAGGCAAGATTTTGATGTATATTTAAAGAACCTTGGTTTAATCAGTGACTGTAAATTTGAGCTGGCCTTTTGTCAGTGTCCTGGGGAATGCAGGGCATAATTTTCCTGAATTCCTCTGGTAGCTTCATTCAGCTAGATAGTAAAATTACTTAGGTTAATCAAGGTAAGTAGAGTCTTTGGAAGAACTTTAGAGGAACTTAGCAAAACCAGTTGAATGGGCAACATGCTGCAGGTAATAGTCATTGTTAATAGAAGTTGAACAAGAGAAATCACAAGAAGCAAGTTTATTTTATTCGTATGCTAGTTTATAAATCAATTAAGGGGAAGACTTGGGCACTGTTATATATAGATCAGTTAAAGCAATGATCAGAAATGCAAACACGTATGCTAGCTTGTAGGATTTAAGCCCCTAAGTTGAAACTAGAATTCGTCCTTCTAAGGCCTTAGGAGCATAGCTGCGCGCTGCAGGCACCAGTGCTCACTGCAGAGACACCTCCAGTAGCAACAAATGTTCTGGCTCTCCCTGGAAGCCATAGGAGTGCAGTCATTCTTATGTTCTTGGGTTAGACCAAACAATGGTCTGCAGCTATTACGGGCTGCTGTGAGGGGTGGATGTAGCTGTAGAGTTCAGGGAACAAGCTTGTATCTCCACCTTGTATTGTGCAGGTATATTGTATTGTGTTGTGCTGGTAGTTGTCAGCTGAAATATCTCTGTTTTATTTCCTAGTGTAGAAGAGCCCTTAGATCCCTAATATGTTCACGGGGTTGAATAGAAGTTGCCCCTCTTGACAGATCATTGTGTAACATAGGATTTTTTGTATTTTCCGCTGAGATGCCTGGAACATGGTATAGGATTAAATGATTCTCAGTTCAGTGCAGTTGTACTTGTTCTGTCCTCCCCCATTGTCTCATATTAACAGTTACTGTAAAAGAAACCAATAGTGATGTAGTTTGATTTTTAGGTTTTGTATGTTCAAGGATCTGAACTAACCCGTTTAAGTAATTATGGTTATATTGGTCCTTATACATTCTTATTCAGTATTCTATTTCCTTTCTAGGTGGCCACAGTGCTCTGCCTGGATGTAGGCTTTACAATGAGCAATTCTGCATCTGGTGAGGAGTCTCCACTTGAACAAGCCAAGAAGGTTATGACAAAGTTTGTGCAGCGACAGGTATGTGTGACTTTACATGTGATTAAAAACTGTTAAAAAGGGAGATGAAGCAATGACATCTGTGAAATATTTTCCTCATTTACTAATAATTGAAATAAATGAGAAATGAGTACTTGTTTTATCCCAGATGTCCTCATGTCAGTCTGTTAGTTTAATTATATCTAAATTAGTGAACTCTCTGTAAGATTACATTTTGGTAGTTTTACTGAAAAAGTAAGAAAAAGTAAATCCACTGTACTTGACATTGTTTCAAAATTAGTTCAGCTTGCTCAAGTCTGCCTAACATAGTTGTGTATGAATCTATCTGTGTTTTTTATACCTGTTCTGTATTTTCTCTGTTTCCAGGTTTTTGCTGAGAGTAAAGATGAAGTCGCTGTAGTTTTGTTTGGCACAGATGGTACTAGGAATGACCTTGCCAGTGGGGATCAATACCAAAACATTACTGTACATAGGTCACTAATGCTACCAGATTTTGATCTGCTGGAAGACATTCAAGATGTGATTAAACCAGGCTCTGAACAAGCAGACTGTATCCTTTCGTGGTAGAGCACTTCTTGAACAGATTCAGCTACATAGGAGACAGGAAGTTAGTGTTGTGAAATGGGCTCAGATTTGCCTCCGAAGTTGTAACTACTGTCAGAGTTCAGCTCATTTGTAGTCGCAAGTTTGTTCAAAAGCAGATTAGCTGCTTTTTGACATTCTTTTAGGCTAGCAGATGGAGTCTTGGCCTTAAGGCATTGTTGCTTTTATGAAGTGTTCTGTTAATTAAAGAGAGCAAAGAGCACTAGTATAATTTTAGGCCTCAGATAAGGCATGTGTTTTTAAACATAGTGTTGCAGAACTTGGTTTATGCTTTTTCATCAAATAAAAATATTATTTACAAAATATGTCATCAGAAGTACCAGAAACCAGACAAAGCAGAATAGAGGTTTATCAGATTGATTTCTGTATAAAGTATTTTTTCTGTATAAAGTATTTCTAACACTGCCAAATGTTACTTGCTCGTTTGAATGTTGTTCATGTTTGAATGTATTCTGTTGTTAATTGCGTAAGGTGAAGAGTTTTAAAAGGCTGCAATCTACATAGTGTCCCTTTATGTGTTTCATTTACATACTGTTCAACTTCCCATGTTGTCTTCCCTTTTTCTGGCCATAAAATGATTGTTCTGAGCCCTATTCAGACTGTCAGAGCTGTTTCAGAGAAGTGTGCAGCCATTCAGCTGTATCTTAGCGGAAGCAGAGTCATGTTCCTTCTTTGATGGGTAGGCAGGTTTGTGTGCAGTGATAAAAATATGTTCGCAGTGAAAACTGTGGTGAGGAAGAAACTATCAAGAGATTGCCAGATCCAGATGTTTTGAAGGAAAACTTGCATGAGAAAATGGTATCATGTATTGAAAGTACAAGTAAATTTTGTTTGTGGATTCAAAGTAACATTGTAAAGATTAGATTGGTCTTTCATTGGACTTGAGCCTCCTCATTGACAGTTAAAAGATTGCGACCTGAAGCAGTCTTTTTACTGTTTCATCAGATAAATGGGGAAGAGACAAGATCACAAAACAGACAAGTTATATAGGAACCTCTTGCACAGTAGATATTTGAAGAGTACTTGTCTCAAAAAATTGTTTGCTTGTTAACTAAAATGCATGTTTGTCAGTGTTTGGGAGGGTGTGAAAACAGAAGATTGTTTCATAGGAAAAACACTTTTGCGACATGATTCATGTTCTAGATGAAGTTTTTCTTAAATTCACTTAGTTCTGGATGCAATTATTGTGTGTATGGACTTGCTTCAGAAGGAAACAATGTGAGTATGTAACCCAAAGCCTTTTTACAGAATTCTGACCTTGCACTTCGGAGCTGATCTGATTTCTTGTCAGTATTACATTTCCAGTATTGTGTAAATATGGAAAATGCTTTTTTTTTAAAAAAAAAAAAAATTAAAACGGGACAACATGCTGCAGGAGTCTGTCCCTGAAGAATCCCCAGGAGACATCTAGCTTCTCCAGACAATCTAAGAGCTTTCTGGTGCAACTGGGAACTTTGCAGTAGATTCATGAGAATATTAATGCCATTATACAAGGCACACAGACTTCACTTAGTGTCACATTTCTTGTCATCTGTTTTCAAAAAACATTAATTCGGATGCTAAAATGCATAGAAAAGGGCTACCAAACTTGTAAGGGTGATGGCATATCTTACAAAGGGAAAAAGAAAACAAAAGTAGAAAGGTGAGTTTGTTCAGACTAGCAACTTAAAGGCTGTTGGCAGTGAGGTGGCTGTTTGTAAATACGCAGGGTGTGGAGGATAAACGTGCAGTAGGAGAAAACACTGTTTAAGCTGAAAAAATGTTGGCACAAGTGTTACAAAGTTGTCAATGAATGGACAACTGGAAATGTGACTGTTTCTAACACTCAGTGACTGATGGTCCAGGGAAAGGAAGATAGCCTTACTTCCTCTCAAAACAGAGATTGAACATGTTAAAAAGGTTATATGATCTAATTGTGAATGCAGAAGACTAGACTTAGTGATGCAATTTGTATTTTTATGATTAAAGTCTAATCAGCATGGAGAGCAGTATCAATTTAGTGGTTAAAATTGAGTTATGAATTAAAATCACTGTATTTAGGGCAGTATAACCTTGAATACCTATGGAGCAACTGCGTTTGTTATCTTGTGGGTAAGTTTATTGTATGCACCAAACCCTTTGATACGGAGTTGACTGTCAGTTGAGAAAGTACTATTAGGTAAAAATTCAAGAAAATCACCCCTATGCTTGAATATCCAGATAAATACTATATCAGTTTAACTGAATTTTATTCTGTAGCTGGCAGAACTTTCTGATGTTTCTTGTTACTACTACTTAGCGTATTAAGTCGGCTTTAAAGTCAGTCTTACCCAATGAATCTACTGAATTAGCTTGCTAAAATGGAACCCCCGCCAGCAACAGTAATTTAAAATACATTTTCCAGTTTCACAAGGACATACTTACAGCTGCAAAGGAAATATCCAGTATAACGTATAACCTACAAACAACCTAACATATTTTATTAGCATTTTATGTACATTGGTGAAAATTGGCAGAATTCCATTCATTTAGGTGTAGTTAGTGATTTATAAAATCACAGGGCTAGAATCCTCAATTTTAAGGGGTAGGAGTGAGGGGGGGAATCATATAAAGATAAAAACATACCATAAATAATATAAGCAATGATAGAACAACTTCTATCAAGTAGGTTGGTTTGGGTTTTTTTTTTTTTTTTTTTTTTTTTTTTTTTTTACAAGTAAGTTACTTTGGTAGAGCTTCAATTTTGTAAGCAAGGAATTAGAAAAAGGCCTTCTAGATATTTCTGATATACATAAATGTTCTTTTTGTATTTTAAGAGGGAAGAAATACGAGAAGACACACATTGAACTGTTTACAGACCTTAGTAGTCCTGTCAGTGAGGATCAGCTGGAAATTATCATTGCTAACTTGAAGAAAACGGGAATTTCACTTCAGTTTTTGTAAGTATGGAAGTGGCTGTTATACACTACGCCATTTTTTAAAAGGAAATTATTATTTCTTAATAACGATCTTGAAGGAGCTGGTGAACTGTTGGTGTATTGTTTTTATAGAGGTGTACCAGTATGTTATAGGATTGTTATAAGTACATATATCAATTACACATGCTATGAATTCCAGTTATGAACCATGTCCTCTTGATTAAGTGATGTGTAAATACATGTTAAGGTCATAGCTTCTTCTCCACTTAAGCTTACAGCTTAGAGCCAAAGTCTAAAACGGGAGACAAAAGATCTATGTAAGCAGAGAAGTGGGAAACAATGAGCTAGAAATAGCCTCAGAAGCAGTGGTTTTGTCACAGCCTAGATCCTTTTAGGTAAGGAAGTTACTGGGCAGAAATAAAGAGGTAGTGTTGCGGATGTTTATAGCCTGATTCTGGTCTCAGTAGAAAAGCAAGCCTGAAGAGAAGGGTTATATTCACAGTGATGGGCTTGGAAAATGGAAGCAGAAAATGGAAGCAATGTCTTACATGTTATGACAGGAATCCCTTGGCTGTCTTGGTATAGGTATAGGCATTGATCTGAAGAATCAGTGGTGCTGAGATCTGTATTGTTGCGCATGATGGTAACATAGGAAGCGATAGGCATTCTAGTAGGAGTTTATTTAAAAGCAAAACTTTGTGTGGATGTTAATGTTTGCTGTTTATAACAAATAGTTTCACAGGAGAAAGTTAAAGCCGCAGTTTTACTTCTGACCCTTTTAATATTTACTTTCACCTAGACCCAGCATTCTGTAAGGAACAATGTTGTGAACTTGATAAATTCATTAAAGCCATTTGTGGACCCACCTGCAAGCTAACAAAGGGGTTAGGTAGGAAAGCATGACTGAAAGTCGTGGGCTGATCCTCTACCTGGGCTTGGGAGAGACTGAATGTAAAAATGTCAGACTGCTTTCAGAGTCTGTCTACAGAGCAAAAGAAGGTATGCTTGCAACATGCCTTGACATGCCCCTTCTAGCTCACTTGAGCTATTGTTGGCACTGGAGGCAGTGGAGACACAATACCATGAACCTGGTACATGCTGCCAGACAGGGTTGTATCTCTCAGACACCAGGTATTTAGCCCCTGGTACCTTGTCTCTGTATCTGTAGTTTGCTATGCAGACTAGCACAGATGCTACCACCACAAGTTAACGTTTTATTCAGTGAGATTTCTGATACATCTTTACATTTTCTTTGTCTGTAATGTAGCAAAGGAAAAGCCCCGTGGCTAATAGAAGCACTAGGGAAGTGTTGCTGTTATAGCATCATCTGCAGATTTACACCCTGTCTCACAGTCACACGAGCAAATGATGCTTTGAGAAATATATGTGCAAATGTAAAATACTCAGGATGCTAGTTTAAAAATAATTTCTTACTTGTCCTTGTCCTTTTGTTATAACCCATACTTCCATCTCTTACGCCCTGTTTACTGCTTAGGTTGTAACTTGTGGCAGATAGTTGGTTTTCCTCCCTGTTATCAAGCGCCAAGCACATGCTGAGCACTGTGTAGCTTTGGGTATTACACAGTTCTCATCGCAGGAGTCTCTAAGCACTGTATAATGAAAGTAATCTAATTTTTATGTATCAGAGGTTTGAAGCTTTTTGCTCTCATAACAGCTTTAAAATACAGTTTCTCTTTGTCAGTGGCTGCTGCTTCCTAAAAAGGTAACAAACGCTTTGCTAAAGTTTCATCTTTAATTCTGCTGTATGTGACACTGTTGTGCATATTGTTAACTCTGCTTATTGTATGTTGCTCCACAGATAAGTTGAGTGAGGACTAATGAGGGGAAAGTAAGGTAGAGATCTGTAGGCTGCTTTTTTGAAAACATAATACGATGCTACTTTGTGAAAATGTGGTAAAAGGTATCATGTGGTTCATTCAAAATTGGATCAGATGAAAGATTTGAAAAATCTGCAGTCATTGTCGGGGACACAGAGTAGAGGATCTTACACATCTCTCTTTCTGTGGTTATTATACTTAGTAAACTCTGTTTGTTTTGAAAAGCAGCAAAATCATTTTATCTATAACCCCTGGCTAAATTTTTAAATCTGATTCTTGAAGTGCAGGAAACTATGTCATCTTCAGTCAGAAATCCACCTAGTGTTATAAGCTATTAAAATCTCAAAAAGTAACATTTATTTCAGAAATACCTAATAGCCTCACTGCCGAGACAGTCCTGTTTGCAGGTGTTTAGAGCCAATACAGAGTCACAGGCCTGCAATGACCTTTAACAAGTCATCCAGAGCAATCCTCTAATTCAGACTGGGTCAGTCGTATGTATGTCATTGCTGAGTGGTGTTTGTCTAAAGTTCTTACAAAGATTTCCAGTGATGGAGACTCTTCTGTCTCCTCAGGCAGTTGGTTTTAGAGATTGTGGTTTGAAATGCCTTTATCAGATTTTTGAATATCTGACCTGACTCCATGATGTAATTTGAGTGCAGGCTGAATATGAAGAACCAATTGTTCCCCTCCTCTCTGCAAGAGTCTTTCATATTTAAGACTGTCTTGCCATCCTTCTCTACAGGCTTTATTTTGTTCAATGTCTTTTCATAGATCTTGTTTTCTAATCATCATTGTCTTTACTCCCTAACCCCTTCCTGTGTGTGGACATCTTCATTGATGTATGATGCCCAGAACTGGTACAGCATTCTGGTCAAGATGTTACCAATGCCAAATAGTACTTCATGTGTTTTGCAAGCCATGCGGCTCTTTATACATCTGACTGCAGCTAGATAGAAATTGTTGATCCTGATAAAATTTTTGCTTTATTTTTGGTAGGTTATTTTAATTAAGAAGAAAGTCAAACTAACTGCTTCTGCTTGTGTTCTTAGTCTGCCATTTCCAGTGGATATTGATGATGGAGGTGGAGATACAAGTGCCAGTGTACATTCTGAAATGCACAAAAGCTCTTTTCCAAGAAAGGGTTTAACTGAGCAACAGAAGGAAGGCATTGATGTGGTGAGGAAACTGATGCATACTTTGGATGAAGGAGGAGGGCTAGAAGAAATTTATACTTTCAGGTAAAGTTGGGTAATCCTCTTTATCACACTGTAAATTTACTTTCTGATTTCTTCCCCAGAAGATGAAATTAATTAAGTAATCAGTCACTTGGCTTCCAGTTTCACTGAAGTCAGTGAATTTTATAACTTATTGTACACTCATTCCCTTTCAAACAGCTTTTTCAGTGGCTTTAGAATAAGTAGAAAAGCTTACAGATTTCACTGGAAAATGGATTTTCTGTATCTGTATTTAAAGAAAAAATTCAGTTTTCTTCCATTTTTAGTGCTGGTAGATTTTGGAGGGAATGTTTCTATAAATGAGATTTCAAAAGCATGTTTTGGAAAGAGTTGGAATTTGTGACATAGTGCAGGTAGAACTTTTGTGTTTAATGGTAGCCTTTGTTCCTTGGTCTCACACTTTTTTTAGCTCACAAGTTTATCAATCCCCACAAATGTTTTGAGTAATGTTGTTTGTTGAATCCTGCTCTTTTATTACAGACTACCATGCCATTGTGCCAAGCAGTACACTTTTTTAGCAGCATTCCTGATGCAAGAATTGAAAGATGGTTTTTCACTTAATGTTTCCCCAGTGAAAGAATAAAAATATGTGTGTGTCTCTGAAAAACTGTGGCTGATGAGATATCCAAGACTTTTCCACACAAGTGTTGTCTCAGTTGGGAAACAAGCAAAATGCATCTATGTGCCTTACAAAAGTCTGATTTTATTGTCTTAGTAGTTCCATTCTGCAATTATGAAGAATTATCTTTTAGACTGTGTTTTTCAGGAAACTTAGTAGACCATAGCTGTAATGTGATTATCAAGTGTAATTTTTAGATAAGGTACCTGTAAGTTTGCATGCTGTTATTCATTATTTTATTTGTGGGATTTCCTTCCCTCACCATGTCCAACTGATTTGCTTTGCACCTCAGCAGCCAGTTAAACTGTTATTTGAGCATTAGTATGGATTAGTGAAGAAACATGTATCACTATGTATGTATTCCATACTAGTCAACAGAGCACTCTGAGTCTCTAGAAAAGAGCAGGCTTGGTCATTGCATCAAAAGACTGCACAGAAAAGCAGTATCTTTCTGGGCCTGTTTATCCTTTAGGATAATCCATATGCATGAAGCTACTATGTGGCTTGGCCCCTTCTTCACGTTTTTTTTTATTGCAGGCTCTTGCTACGTTGTGCCATGCTCTCAGGGGAAATCCAAAATCTTTGGATAAATAAGCATTTGGCTAATACAATAAAACTTTAGTTGTTTAAGTTGTTTAAGAATATGTGAGGTTTTAGATGCAGTTAAGTTGCTTATCAAGCTTTAAGAAGTCAGCCTTGTAAATCTGTCATGATAATTTACCAACTCAGGTACACTCTGTTTTCCTATATTCATTATT